AAAAAAAAAAGAAAAAATAAAATAAAAATCACCGATACAAGCGAGGCGGGACGGACAAAAACACACACGCAGGGAGAGGAAACACAGAATATTTGGTGGTTTTGTTGCCCTAAATGTGAGTGGTAGCATTGCACAGGCACAGCTGGGACTTGCAGGGGTGTTTTCTGTATTTAAGGGCTCTTGAAATGGCTCATCCCAGGGGGTTTTAAAAGGTCAGTGGCAGTGATAATTTGAAAGGAGTAAAGTTTCTCAGAGGAAGTTATCTGCCACTATATATGTAATATGCCCTCCACTTTTGCCTCTGTATAAAATACCCTCCATTTTTACCCCTGTATAAAATACCCCCCATTTTTCCCTCTGTATAAAAATCCTTCCATTTTTGCCTCTGTATTAAAAAAACCTTCCATTTTTCCCTCTGTATAAAAAAACCTTCCATTTTTCCCTCTGTATAAAAATCCTTCCATTTTTCCCTCTGTATAAAAATCCTTCCATTTTTCCCTCTGTATAAAAATCCTTCCATTTTTCCCTCTGTATAAAATACCCTCCATTTTATCTCTGTATCACACCATATATATACCTTTTCTATATATATATATATATATCTTACCTTATATACATCTCATACATTTTAAAAATACATAAAAATATATCCCACATTTCATATATAAAATTATATCCTACATTTTATAGATTCAAAATATAGACTACATTTTATTGATATAAAACACAAAATGCATTTTACACCTATAAAATCCATCTAAAAAGTTTTCTATCTATAAAAATATCATACATTTCTTATATATAAAATCCATCTATTTTATATATATATACACATGTATACATATATATAGATAAAATCTCATAATCTCATATATGTGTATATATACACATATAATGTAAGATATATAATCTAATTTTAATAATATTATATAATATATCTAAATAATATTTATCTAATATCATATATAATATATATCTAAAATATTATCTAATATTATATATACACACACACACATATATATGAAATTATATATATAATCTCACAGGTTGCCAAACAGCATTTGTGAAAAAAATGTAGCCCAACTGACCTTTAAAAACCTTCCTTTTCTATTTTAACCCTAATTTTAAATCTTGCCCTCAGAGTGAACAAGCTCAGGGGGCCTTGTGGGTCCCTTCCAGCTGTGATTCTGGGGTCCCATGAAATCTGAAATAAAGACCTGGAAAAGGGAGGGGAAGTTGAGCAGCTCTGAGCACCCTGAACAAAAATCCTGGTTGGTTCTCAGAGAACTTTGGGAAGTGTTGGCTCATTAAAGGGCTCCCAAATGTAGTTTTTGAGCGAGGAACGTGAGGGGAAAAAAATATCACAACACCAGACACAGACACTGGGAATTTAGAAGAGTCCAGACAGGCCCACACAGTAGAAACAGCTCAGGAATTATAATTTAATTTAATGAAAATTCAACATAAGACAGCAGCCTTAGGAGGAAAACAGCTGGAGAGTGACTGCAAACTGAGCAGGAGCACAATCAAAAAGCAATGAAAACTGCAAAGCAGGATAAACACAAAATAATCCCATTTAAAAAGAAATAATTTAAAAAAAGGAGGGGGACAACTTTGGGTACCTCAGGATCTACGAAATGCAAAAATGCAAAGCAGCAGCAAAAAAAAAAATTGACTCAGAAAGCAGGGAGGTAACCTGGCCTCGTACTCAGTGGTGGAAAGGTGAGGGAGAGGGGTGAGGATGAGAGTTTCCAAGGTGCTCAAGGGGACATTAAAATGGACATAAACTCCGCTGATTGTTAAGCCTTGGGAATCAGGACGGAGAAGAGAAGCCACCGGTGAGGATTAAAGCAGGATGTGCTCAGAGGAATGGCAAAGCTCACACAAACAAAAACCGTTGTGGCCTTGTTTATAATTGCAGAATGCATGTTTTTAAGAGTCATTTAGAAACTTTGCAAGCAAAGCCCGTGGAAAGAAAAAAAACAACCTACAGGTTTTTATCTAAGTTATTTAGAGCCTTATCTTTTCCAAGGAGATAAAGCTGTAATATTAATTTTAAGATGAAGTTATAATATTATTTTAAGACCTATGGCCTGAGCCAAAGCTTTAGAGATTTACAGATTCATTAACTCTCTGGGGAAAAAAAAGGATCATTTGGCAAGCTCAGTCCGAAGTTTGTTACGTGGGAGATGCAAACTTTCCTATCTGTTGCCTATAATTTAATTCTAATAAATAATTTAATAATAAAAAGTGGAAATTTTA